CTACACTCTCCGGTACACTATAGGTGTGAAACCAATCTTCCTCCATGTATTTTATGATGGCATCAGCTGTAAACTTTTTAACAGGACGTAGAAAAGAAAATTTAGAAAAATGATCAAGGACTATAAAGATTCCTATATGTCCTGACCTAGATCTGGCATAAGGACCCAAAAAATCAACGTACAACTTCTGGAAAAATCTATTAGAGGTACCTGTATCCCCCATAGGAGGTCTCATTATAGTATTAGGGTGTTTGGTGCTTTTACACACATCACAAGACCCAATATACTCCTTAACATCTGAAACTAAAGAAGGCCAAAAATAATACCGTCTAAGTCGCTCTAAACATTTGTTGATCCCACAATGTGCTGATAAAGGATTATCATGATGCTTATGTAAAAGCTCAGGTACCATACTCTTGGGAATCCACAGCTTCCATGCCAGATTATCAGCTTTAGGATCACCAACGGCATGGTCTGTTCTCCTATATAGGTATCCATCCACAATCTTCAGGTCTGGGGTAGAATCGATGTTGCTTTAAACCTTTCTTAGCAATTCCTTATATTCGTCTGAAGAAAAATGTTGAGAATTCAGATATACAAAAACACCATGTTCATTCTCAACCTCCGATATCCAACCTAAGGCGGACAAGTCCTCCGTGTTGACACGGGAAAGCGCATCAGGAACTATGTTCTGCGACCCTTTTCTGTGTTCTATCTTAAACCGATATCCTTGTAGTTTGAAAGTCCATCTAGCCAGCCGTGTACTTAAGTCGGATTGGGACATGAGCCACTTTAGGGAAGCGTGATCAGTGATCACCGTGAACTCATGCCCCTCGACATAAGCTCGAAACTTCTTAATGCAAAGCATTGCTGCTAAACATTCTTGTTCGGTTACGCTATAGTTACGTTGGGCTTGGTTGAGTTTCATAGACATAAATGCTATCGGAAACTCGTCACCCTCCGTATTCTTTTGCACCAAAACACCTCCTATTCCTGTTTTGCTCGCATCGCAATCTATGAAGAACGGCTGCGTGAAATCAGGACTATTCAAGACAGGTGCTGAACTAAGTATGGATTTTAATTCTACAAAGGATTTCTGTGCCTCATCGGACCATATAAACTTGCGGGTTGTTTTCAGTAAATCGGTTAAAGGGCTTGAAATGACAGCATAATTCCTAATGAACTTCCGGTACCAACCGGACATCCCTAAAAATCGTCTGACCTGTTTAACAGACCTTGGTATGGGAAATTCTGTAATGGCTGAACTCTTTTCTGGGTCAGTACGAATAGTTCCATCACCCACTACATGACCCAAGTATCGAACTTCCGACATGCAAAACTTACTCTTCTCCACATTTATTGTTAATCCTGCAATTCGAAGACATTTGGCAACTTCTCTAAGGACCTCGATGTGCCTTTCAAAAGTGGGAGATACCACCAGGAGATCATCCAAGTAAACCAACACCTCGTTCCTGAGAGACGCTGGAACCACTCTATCCATCAGCCTGCACATGGTTTGCGGGGCATTGCAAAGCCCAAATGGCATGACTTTGAAATGGTATTGAGGTCTCCCAGGAACAGTGATTCATCCAGGGGTATCTGCCAAAATGCATCTTTTAAATCTAGACTTGAAATATATTCTGCCTTGGGCAGTCTACTTAAAATTCCTTCTATATGAGTCAAAGGGTACGCATCCCCCTCTGTAACTGCATTTAGCTTTCTACTGTCTAGGCACAATCAATTCTTGCCAGGTTTTCTGTGCAGAACGATTAGTGAAGACCTTGTGGACTCTTCAATAACATCCATGGCCAACATCCTATCAAGCTCCTCGTAGATAAGCTTCTCGATTGCCGGAGAGACTGGGAAAGGACGCTGTTTAATGGGAGGTGAATTTATGGTATGACAAATAAGACTGGTTTTCCCCAGGCCCTCTTTCGCAAATGAAGGAAAAATATCAATGGCACACTGAAGCATATATTTTTGATCTTAGGATAAATTCTTCTGGCCCAAAACAATGTTATTCTCTATCGAGAATGCTAGAGCAGATACACCGCTCAACAAAGAGGGTGGCAACAAATGGAACATCCTCCAAAAGTCAATGCCTAAAATTAAATTCTGAGACAAGTTTGGGACAATATATACGGAAAGTACTTGGCTATCGCTTTAAAAATTATATTGGTCGAACAAACTCCCACAATATTCTGAGGTTTGCCATCCGCTGTTCTAACAATGGTATTCAACTTTTTGTAAGGTATATTGAAACTTAGAAAACCTATAGCAGCCTGTGATCCAAGACAGGTTACAGACGCACCTGTATCTAAGAGACCTGTCATAACTTTACCTAAAAGTTGTACTTCGGCATAAGGGCGAACGTCTCCCTGGTCTTTCCATAACTGATACTGAAAAATTCTTCTTCACAGCCTTTACATTTTTCCAAAATTTCTTCATCCTGTTACTTGATCGACTATAATTTGGTTCCTCGTTAAAAATTCGTTCCCTTACTGTCTTATAATTCTCCATCCTGATATGGAATGGAATAATAGGACGAGGTCCAGTATTAGTATGGGAATAAGAATTGTTATCGGATCGGATATTATGTTGGACAAGTTTGTCAGGTTCTATATGTTCTTGTTTGTAATCGTCTTTAGAAGGATCGATATGTCCTTTTGAGGAAATTGTGGTATTTTGAGCTATTTTTATATGGTTTGTGAGTACTGTTGAGAGGTTTGGGGTTTCTGTTTCGGTGCACTTTTCAGCGCACTGTTTTGGGAGTTTTTTGGCCTGCTGTTACATGTTTGACAATTTGGCTTATAAACTTGAGGAGTACCGCAGCCATAGCAAAAGACCGTCCGTTCTCCTAAGCACTCATGATACCTATGACCAGAAGCTCTGCAGTTCCAACAAACAGTGGATACTTCTGAAACATCTTCAGGATCAAGCAGTTCAGGTTCTTTTGCATCGCTAAAATCTACTTCCGCAGCACGTCTGGCAAAGTTGCTATTCCTATTGCCATGTCTTCTACTAACATCCTGTAAGAAAAATTCTCGGCGTCTGCATATCTCCCTCAATTTACCAACAGAGTCTATTGACATATTCAATATCTCATGTTGGATCTCTGGCAGAAGATTCCTGCGTAGAATCTCCACGAGAGTCCTGTCATCTAATGGTTTATCTAGACGATCTACCAAGTCAATGACCGAGTCATAAAAAGCATCGAATGTCTCATTTTGTTTTTGCTTCCTATCACGTATAAGCTCACGAAAATCAATGTCGGTTCTGGAATCCCTATATTGTTGTCTTAAGGCGGTACAAAGGACCTCCCACTGTACAACACGCACTGTTCGATGGAACCTCCAGAACCAATCACTGGCTTTTCCGTCGAAAAGTGCACTAGCACTACGGCAAAGAACATCGAAATCCCCATTTAATGTCTGTCTCGTCAAAGCTTCTACACGATAAATAAAACTATCGACTGGTAGACTAGAAGAATTGCCACTAAACTTCAATCTCCAATTGGAAATTATCTGACTAACCTTGTCAGGACGAGCAGCCAAATCAGGATTCATGTTGGGATTGCTACTGCGAGATCTATTAAATGATAAACCGTCATTATTCGTTGGACCAAAACCATTACCATTATTGTTGCTAGAAGAAGGTAGACCTAACAATTGTTCCAAGGTCCTTTGCTCAACTTCGCCTACGTTTGGTATTGTAGGATTATTATTGACCGGCGAAGAAGCATTAACCATTTGAGTACCGCTGTTTAAATTTAAACGGGCTAAACTAGCTTCAACGTTTTTTTTCAACTAAAGATGATATTTGATTAGCTATTGACTGAACAATCTGAGCTTGCTGATTTCCCATTAATGACGTCACTATCTCTCTAACATTATCTAAAGTCAAAGGCTGAGGCGCACTTGTAGTCGCAGAAGGATTCTGAGAAATATCCTGATTAGAAGTTTCATCAGCTCTGCTGGCATCAAAATTTCTTGCCTTTGAAGACGACCTGGTATTAACTCTACCTGAGACTGAAGGATTCGATTGTTTACCGTCCTTTATTATCCTTGCTCCACAAACAGGACAATCAGAATGGGTTTTTATATAGCTGGTTATACATATTTTATGAAATGAGTGTCTACAAATGGTTTCCGAGAGGACAGAAGGATTTTGAATTGGAGAGCTGCAAATCTTGCATATTAATATGTTATCTATGCTCAATGAACCAGGAGTAGGTGTCTCTTCCGAACTTCGATCAAGAGGCATCGTGAATAAATTCAATAATACAGCCGAAAAATAAAAAAAAATTAACAAAGACAAAAATCAAAACCAATAATAACCAGAAACCAAAAATAATTTTATTAAACGAGTTTGATTCTATTAGGAAATTGGGTCAAAAATTAGGATATTACAATATAATCAAAAAGTCAACGATGTAGAACAGAGAGAAAAAGGAAATAAGTTTGTAAAAGAACAATAGAGTAGGGACTATAGACTTACACCAACAACGGCTCAAAACATCATCAATAATATTATGAGATTCCTTATCGGTAAAATAATAAAAGCATCTAATCAGTTGTTAAAGTCGAAGACAAATTCTAGAGTACTTTCCAAAAATAGTTTTCATCCAACCAACAACCTCACAGAAAGCTTTCACACAATAGAGTTTTAGAAGAATAACATCATAACCGGTTAAATGTTTCAGCACTACTGCAATTTAAAACATAAAAATTCCGAGGAAATTCTGCTATCCTGATAAAAGAAGGAAATAGTAGAGAAACCAAATTAAAGTCAAAAACCAAAATTGAGAATGAACCCAGAGTGAAATCACTACGATACGATGATATCAAGACTTATAATTTCAGAAATGTAGACAAATTTGTTAATCACTCGGGCCCCACGTTGGGCGCCAAAAACTGTAACGAGCATGGGTGAAAATCTGTTGAAAATATCATGTGAGCTTCTGATGAACTACCTGGCCTGGCACGCATGTATCTCCGGCCTTATTGCTCGCCAGATGGGGTGGGTTTTTGCCATGGTTCATCATTATAGATCGCCAGCTACAAGTTTTAAATTTATTTATACGTGCTCAATAATGCAGAGAAGATGACACATTAAAGAAAAAACAGAGAAAATTATAGTAAGAAGAATGTCTATAGCCTAAAGAAGTACAAAAAAAATCTGTTCATCCATCCATTGACTTACACGTGCATAGGTGAAAAACGCACGCTTGCCCACCCAACCTGTTTACCATACCAATCCAAAATAAAATTGAAAAATTGTCCATAGTAAACCCATAAAACAAAACATTTTTGCTCAAGCAATTGACTGGCGAAAACAAAAATGCATAAACAAAATAAAAAGGGCAAAAAAAAAGAAAAAAAAACGATAATATTAGAAATGAACCACAGCGGGGTTGAACCTGCAACCTCCCGAACGGGAAGCCACGACGCTACCTCTGGCCCAAGCCAGTCTTAGACGAAGGCTTGTTTAAAAGCGCTATCAAGTAAACTAGTATAACAGTTTACACGATCAATATAGAAAGAGGGAAGAAGAAGCATCCGTGTAATAAAGAGCTTTTCAAAACATTATTCTAAAAATAGAATATTACAGAATATTAACAACATAACATTCTACTTCTCATCTTACATAGCACCTGTAACAAAAATTATTATTTAACAGAAGAGCTTGTGATGGCCAGGTCAGAGGTGGGCGAACTTCAAATATTGGGGGCCAATAAAAATAAAATAACAAAACTCAATAACTTATCTACATGCGCCCCTACAATAAGCCGCACCAAACTGCACCGTTGAGTATAGAGAGCCTTCTCAACAATAAGTCTTAAATTTTCTGACACTCAGGTCACACCTGTACATGTGGTTAGATAGCTTTAAAAAAAATATGTATTGAAGAACGACTGGCCGAAACCTTATTCGTGGATTGGTGTAATTCGCGTACACATGTATATTGGAATTTTTTGTTGGATATACGGCTTAGGGAAAGAACGGAAGTAAGGGCATTAAGAACTGAATTGTATAATAATAAGTTCCAGACTATACTGTGGGTAGAAGTAATGCTATTACAACAGTGCCAGAGAATTATTTACAATAATCAATATGAGACGAATATACCCAACTCAATTACCCCAGGGCTTATATATACCCTATACCAGTTTTGTATATCCTGGAAAAAATTATCTTATTACAACACCTCAAAGTATTCGATGGACAATAGACAAATGACTTAAATTAAATTAAATTTCATACAGGGAATTATGCTTCCATATTGACAATTTACATCCAGTTCAAGTTTCTGTCACAGTAGAATAATCTGGCTGGAAATTGTCAAAATAGATCGATGATTTGACATAGTTTGCCCTAACGGAATTTTTCATAATTAGGTATTTGGGTATTCAGAGGATACAGGAACTCCTGGAATAAAAATGTATATAGGTCCATGGTTTGAATTGGAGGGTAAAATAATATGACTTAGCGAAACTCATATTCTTAATATTTGAATCAAGTTAAAAGGTTTTGGGCACAGATTTGAAATTTCCGGTTCACAAAGGATGTATATTAACATCCTTGCTGAACAGTTTCAATATGGGTTCATGTTTTGACATATCCCTAAAATATTTTTTCATCATTTTAAAAATCTTAGTCGCATATTACGTCTGCATGGACTGTGTTTTGGTATTATTATAGATTTCGTTTTAATTATTGATCTGTCCCGTACTGAATGAGTCTGCTACTTTTTACTATTTTTTTTTTCGATGACATAAAGGAACAATTTTGTCGTAGTAAAAATTAGTAGATTCACAATCTTCGATAAGTACTAACATTGCCACAAGCCCTGATTTTTAACTATTTTTTTGCTTTTTTAATGCTTCCTGATTTTTTAATAAGATCTGATTTTAAAATTTTATATCGCTGAAAGAAGAGGACTCAAAACTCAAATTTATGATTTTTATCTCTAGAGAAAAATTACATCTAATAGATGAGTTGCCCTTTAGTAAATTTCATGGAATCATTTTTTCATAGATTTTAAAAATGGCAATTAAATCGACTATACGACGATTAAATTTAATTTCCCGAAGTTATTTCATAATTACAAATTTATCTATTTTTTATTTATATAAAATTTATATTTTTTAATAAGTATTTTTTTAAACTTACCCTTGATCCCTCCGATGTGGTGACACACGTTCCACCATTATAGCAACCCATTTTAATACAATCGGTGTGTGGTTCAATATCTGTACTACCACCTGATGTCGGTACTCCCAAACCAGTTCCAACGGTATTTGCGCTTTCCTCCTCTTCACTGCTTGCTTCGGTGACCGGAGGGTATTTCGAAGAAACAACAGGAATTTGTGTACCATATGCTGGGGCAGCTGAAGTGGGGGATGTTTCACTTGGTACATGCGACGATTGCGGATATTGTGATGTTGGTGGTGGGGGCGGAGGAGGTAAAGTTGTTAATGTTGGTGGCTTTGTGGTGGCTGGCGCCGATGTTGCCGGTGGAGATGTGGCCGGTCGATAGGTGGGTACACTGTACGTTGTTGGTGGCACATATGTTATAATTGGCTTGTACTCTGTGGTCGTTGCCACGCGGGGACCTTGTGTTGTGGCCATTCCTCCCTGTCCACCTAATACGGTGGTCATTGTGGCGGCTGTTGTTGTCATTGGCACATCGGGCATATGTTGTGATGTTTGTGTGGCAGATGTTGTTGCTGCTGCTCCACCGGCTCCTCCTGGTCCTCCTGCTGAGGACGACGATGGTGACACGGTTGTGGTACCATGATGATAATGATGGTCTTCGGTATATAGTGAATGTCCTGTTGTTGTGGGTGCATCCGGATGATGTGGCAAGGGATGTGACGTTGGTGGCCCTTGATAATGGGGTGTTGTCTCATAATCTGTTTTGCTAACATATGTTGTGGCCGGATGATAAATCGAGGTACTGGGCGCCAGCGTTGTTAGTGGGGTGTACGGATGGTAGGTACGATTTTCGGGTATGTGTACAGTAACCGATATGCCAGGACTCATTGTGGACACTTCAATTGTTTCGTAATCAAATGATGAGCTGATGGTTGTCACTGTGTAGGACGGTCCACGCATGGGTGATTGTGTTGTGGGTGCATGTCCTCCAGCAGGGCTAAGATCCATGTATTTTGTTGTCACTACCACTTCGGGGTATTCGGTAAAGAATGGCGCAGCTGTGGTGGCTATTTCGGGTCGAATCACAAAACGTGGTGTTGTTGGCAAACGATCATCGGAATCATGATCTCCTCCATCTTCTTCGGATGACGAAGATTTCGTTTCAGGTTTTTCTGTACCAGGTGGTCTCACATGACTATCAGATTCTGGCTTGGAGGTTACATGTGGAATCTCCAATGTTGGATAATATGTTGGCATACCATAACTGTATTTGGATGTCGAATATTCAATTCCTATACTTGTCTCCACCGTGGTGTACTGATGGTGAGTGTAAATGGGTCTCGTGGGATGTACATAAATACTCGTTTGATCTTCATCACTTTGACTGGTGGCATCTTCCCCATCAGATTCTCCGGAGAGTGGAACTGTGGTATATTCATCTCCACCCCGTCCCGGTGTTATGGGTTTAACTGTTGAAGAGATTTCATCACTGCCACTTGTCTCATCATAATGGGTGGCAGTGGTAGCTGTTACTTCTCCAGAGTGATCCGCGTCTTCAGTTTCTTCATGGCCGGGTAATTCGGAACTTGGTCTATCATGTGTGCTGGGAGTTTCTGTAGTTCCGGCGGATGATACATGACCCTCATCATCGTCTTCATCTGATGCCGAGGTGGATTCATGTAAAAGATGGGTACTTGCTGTGGTAGCAGATACCTGTTCATCAGTGCCACTGCCTGTACCACTGGGTCTGGTACTAGGCCTCTCCAGTGAATCTTCTCCGTCTTCACCTCCCTTGGTCTTATCATGTCCCCTCAAATCATCCTCATCTTCCTCTTCTGTTTCTCCTTCTTCATGAGACTTTGATACAGACTCCGAAACATCTTCTACTCCTCCCGCTCCTCCTCCCCCTCCATGACCCGATAATGTGGTATCCTCTGATGGGCTTTTCACAGTTGTCAATTCCGCTGTCGGCCTAGGTTTGAGAGTGGGTGGTGCCGTGGTCGCTGGTGCCGTATAGTTACAATCTAACGAATCTTCACCAATCATCAGACACTCACACAACATACCCGTCAACAGTGGTGGACACGAACACGAAAACGTATCGACACCATCAATACAAACGCCACCGTTCATGCAACGTGGACCCAATTGGCATTCATCATATTGATATTCACATTTCTCACCGTGATAATCGGGCACACAATAACATGTCGGCACCCCCTCCTCCATTAGGCACAAGGCATTATTCTGGCATGGATTATCGGCACAAATTAAGATCTCTTCTTCGCAATTTGTCCCCGTATAGCCCATGGGACAGGCACACACATAACTGGCCAATTTGTCCACACACATGCCACCGTTTTGGCACGGCGATGAGTCACATTCGTTGATTTCATCCTGACAAATTCGGCCATGCCAACCGGCCGGACATTCGCAATAGAATTCGAGTCCGGGTCCTTCGAGGCATTCACCACCATTTTGACAGCGAGCACCGGTGCCTGTTGTGTTGTTGTAAGAAGGACAGCCATGGTGTTGGTTTGGTTGTTGTTGTGGGGGTCATCAAGTCAAGACATGTGTTGAAAGATAATAAGAAAATATTGTTTTTTGTTGAGCATATAAGTATCTTATGATTGTGGTGAGAAAATATTTATGTGAGGGGTTGGTGGGTGGTCGGAAAATGACGAAAGAGGACAGTGGTTTGAAAGAAAATTATATTTTTTATTAAACTGTATGAACATATCCTCGAAAATCAGATTTTCAGACTAAAACAGCTGATTATTATTATTCATACGCCAAAAAGTATGCATCAAACATTGAAATATAATTTCAATGAATAGTAAACATTGGTACGAATATTTTTGAAGGACTTAATTTTTCAAGGGCTATTAGAAGACGTAGATTTTTTAACTTTATTTTTCAAGAGCTATTACAAGGCGTAGATTTTTTAAATAATTTTTTCAATGGCTATTACAAGGCGTAGATTTTTTAAATAATTTTTTCAAGGGCTATTACAAGGCGTAGATATTTTAAATAATTTTTTCAAGGGCTATTACAAGGCGTAGATTTTTTAAATAATTTTTTCAAGGGCTATTACAAGGCGTAGATTTTTTAAATAATTTTTTCAAGGGCTATTACAAGGCGTATATTTTTAAATAATTTTTTCAAGGGCTATTACAAGGCGTAGATTTTTTAAATAATTTTTTCAAGGGCTATTACAAGGCGTAGATTTTTTAAATAATTTTTTCAAGGGCTATTACAAGGCGTAGATTTTTTAAATAATTTTTTCAAGGGCTATTACAAGGCGTAGATTTTTTAAATAATTTTTTCAAGGGCTATTACAAGGCGTAGATTTTTTAAATAATTTTTTCAAGGGCTATTACAAGGCGTAGATTTTTTAAATAATTTTTTCAAGGGCTATTACAAGGCGTAGATTTTTTAAATAATTTTTTCAAGGGCTATTACAAGGCGTAGATTTTTTAAATAATTTTTTCAAGGGCTATTACAAGGCGTAGATTTTTTAAATAATTTATTCAAGGGCTATTACAAGGCGTAGATTTTTTAAATAATTTTTTAAAGGGTTATTAAATACTTGAATCTTTGAAATTAATTTTTCGAAGACTATCAACAGTACTTTTTATTTTTTAGTTCTGTTCCTAGTTCCCAAAATATTCTGAAATAGTCCTAACCACTGTAGTCGATCCCCTTTACAACCCACATGGTTTTTGTTTTATTGTGGCCCATAAGAACCTCTTGGCCATGTTTATTTTGGGTCGTCTTCATCGTCATCATAACCATAGTCTTCTTCTTCATTGCAGTTGGTAGTACTTACCCGTTTCACAAACAGCCACATCAACTTCACAGTGATCTCCCAAATAGCCGGGTTGACATGTACACGTATAGCCATTATTACGGTCACGACAGTGTCCACCATTCTGGCATGGATTTGACATACACTCGTCGACATTCTCCTCACAATTTGCACCTGTGAAAGAAAAACAAAAGAGAAAAGAAACAAAACAATGAGCCAATGTAGAACAAAACGGTTAAGGAATACGAAAGGCAAGGAATATGTTTTCCATTGTCTTGCTGTTGTTGTTGTTGGTTTTTTTGTGTAATGACAATGATTGTTTTCCGGGAGAGGGTTATAAAGCGAAGCCACCAACCAACCAGCCAGCCAGACAAAAAAGATAATGGTGTCAAATAAAAAAGGGGAAAGACATTTTCTGGAAAATTGACATCATAAAATATTAAAATGCTTGAAATGAGATTTGATTTTTTTCCTTTTCGCCGGTGTCCATGGAGATCCCTATCCAAGGCGTGAGTTTATTTTGTATTAAATGGCACCCTTTTAATCGACGGACATAGAAGCGAAAGGTGCAATAATTTGTTTTTATTTTCGTTGTAAGCAATTGAAAGGTGACCCTTCTATAATTATATTCAATTTAATAATTTATAATAATTGAGAGGACTGGACGAAGCATTAAGAAGAGATTGGTTTTTGGTGTTCTGTATTTTTTTTTTTTTTTTTGAATATTGGATTCTATGTTAGTAAGTGAAGGTAATAGGCATGGATTTTTCAAATCTGATTTTCATGGACTGGCGTGGATTTTTTAAATTTAATTTTCCCCCAAAATATGGAAGTATATACTTTTCCTACATTTTCTAATTTTTCATATTATATGTGCCGCCATGTCGTATGATTAACATTCCACGAATTGCCACTCATATGCCACCTTGTCTTCAAAGCTAAATATGTATGGCTTGTAAATGCCAATTGTCTTTCGACGCCCAAGCATTGTCGTCTAATTTAATTGAATGCAATTTTCTGCAATCTAAAGATAATCGAAGGACAAGTCTAATCTTATTTGTCAGCCAAAAGGTTGGCCCCGTTTTGTGCAAAAGCCTTATAGCGCCATTGGTCAACATAATCAGATTAACGCACATATGTATGTACACTCTTGTTACCAGCTTAAGAAGCAACATTGAAAAATTAAAAATGGATAGCAGACAAACAGACCGATGACATTTCCAAGAATTGAAACTTATAGAAGAGGTTCGGAAATGTACATGGGAAATTAATTAGATAATTAAAGAATGGTGTAGAGAGATAGGGAAAATGAAAAAAAAAATCGGCAAATGGATTTCTAAAGAATACTTTTTGAGGGACCATCACAACCATACGTTATTTGAGCCATAAGCATGATTTTGAATGAATATATTTTGAAGGACTTTCAGTGACATAAGAGAGGATTTTTAAAGAATATTTTTTGAAGAACCATCATAGTCATAAGCGTGAATTGTTTAAGAATATTTTTTTAAAAACCGTGCATTTTTAAGGAATAGTTTTTAAAGAACAATCAGAGTCTCAAGCGGGAATTGTTAAATAAATATTCTTGAAGGATTACCAGAACCTGAATCGTGAAAGTTTAATGATTTTGGTGGACATTCAGTGCCATAAGCGAGAATTTAAAAAAAAATATTCTCGGAAGGGTTATCGGAGCCATAAGTGTGGACTTTTAAAAAATAATTTCTAAGGGACCATCACAATCAATAGTGTGGATTATTAAAGAATATTTTCTAAAGGACAAGGATAGCCATAAGCGTGGACTTCTAAATATTTTCTAAAGGACAATCATAACCATAAACGGGGCTTCTAAAGTATTTTCTAAAGGACAATCATAACCATAAGCGTGGACTTCTAAAGTATTTTCTAAGGAACCATCGCAACCACAAGTGTGGATTTTTATACCCTTCACCACACTGTGGTACAGGGTATTATGTCTTTGTGCATATGTTTGTAACAGGCAAAAATAATCAAGATAGACCCATGGTTCCTTTTGAGAATATGCTTAGAATCACTTTCTGAGTCGATTTATGCATGTCCGTCCGTCTGTCTGTCTGTCCATGTTAAATTGTGAACAAAGTACAGGTCGCATTTATGAACCGAATTGGATGAAATTTGGCATATGTCTCTTATTTGGCCCAAGGACGAACCCTATTGAAATTGGAAAAAATCGTTTCAGATTTAGATAAAGCTCCCATATATATTTTTGTCCGATTTTATGTAAATGTTGTACCAAAGTCCCTATATATCTTTCGATTTGCACGAAATTTGGAACAGCGTACTGACTTAGGTCTAGAATGATGTGTGTTAAGTTTCCTGAAAATCGGTTCAGATTTAGATGTAGCTCCCATATATATTTTCGTCCGATTTTTTGTAAATGATGCACCAAAGTACCTATTTATGTTTGGATTTGCACGAAATTTGGCACATCGTACTGAATCAAATCTAGAATGATGTGTTTTAAGTTTCATGAAAATCGGTCCATATTTAGATATAGCTCCCATATATATTTTCGTCCGATTTTATATAAATGGTGTACCAAAGTCCGTATATATCTTTCGATTTGCACAAAATTTGGCACAGCGTAATGAATTAGGTCTAGAATGATGTGTGCTAAGTTTCCTGAAAATCTGTTCAGATTTAGATGTATGCTCCCATATATATGTTCGTCCGATTTAATGTCAATGGTGTACCAAAGTCCCGATATGTCATCCGATTTGCACGAAATTTGGCACAGCGTACTGAATTAGGTCTAGAATGATGTGTGTTAAGTTTCCTGAAAATCGGTCCAGATTTAGATATAGCTCCCATATATATTTTCGTCCGATTTAATATAAATGGTGCACCAAAGTCCGTATATATCTTTCGATTTGCACGAAATTTGGCACAGCGTAATGAATTAGGTCTAGAATGATGTGTGCTAAGTTTCCTGAAAATCGGTTCAGATTTAGATATAGCCCCCATATATATTCACTTCCGATTTAACGTAAATAGTGTACCAAAGTCCCTATATATCGTCCGATTTGCAAGGAATTTGGCACAGCGTACTGAATTAGGTCTAGAATGATGTGTGTTAAGTTTCCTGAAAATCGGTCCAGATTTAGATATAGATCCCATATTTATTTTCGTCCGAATTAATGTAAATGGTGCACCACAGTCCCCATATACCTTTCGATTTGGATGAAATTTGGCACAGCTTACTGAATTAGCTCTGGAATGATGTGTGTCAAGTTTATTGAAAATCGGTCCAGATTTAGATATAGCCCCCATATATATTTTCGTCCGAATTAATGTAAATGGTGCACCACAGTCCCCATATACCTTTCGATTTGGATGAAATTTGGCACAGCTTACTGAATTAGCTCTGGAATGATGTGTGTCAAGTTTCCTGAAAATCGGTCCAGATTTAGATATAGCCCCCATTTATATTTTCTTCCGATTTTATGTAAATTGTGCACTTGTGGGTCCAATCGGCACAAAATATTGCACTACGTACTGAAGTTACTATAACATAAGAAGCAACCCTATATTTGACCAAATGAAAAATTTAGTATAGATGGCAGAATTACATGTTTATGGATCCATTTTCATGTTAATGGTCCTTCAAAAATTCGACGTCTGTTAGGATTCATTTGTTGAATATGCCAAAGTGGTGAAGGGTATCATATAGTCGGCCCCGTCCGACTTTACTACTTTTCTTACTGGTTATACGCGTATTAGAATATTACAGCCATAAGAGGATCTCTCCCATTTCTTTTGTATGTATTAAAAACATATGTGTTGAATTTACCTTGCCCTTGATATTTTCGAATCAAATTTCTCCTGAGGAAAAAACTTAAATAAATATTTTTTTCCATTTTGCAATTTAAAACCATTGTTTAAAGATCTTAAATGTTGTTGATGTTATTTTATTCTCTCATCTTCTTTTTTGCTTCAATAAAATAGTGAAAATTTAATTAAAATTGAAATCAACCACTTGTCAGGAAAGTGATTTTTAGTGTCAATTTTCATCAATAACCTAACATGACATTTTTAAATTTCATTCTGTTTTAATTCGATGCAAAGCAAAGGATGACTGCCATATTAAAAAAACAAATGTGTCCATTTTAATTAATTTACCATAACAAATGTGAAAAATTGGTTGAAAGCTAAAAAATAACATATTGCTAAGTGCAGCATAATGCAAATGCACATAAATGCAAATGGCTATTTGATTTAATTGGCGACTATTATTTTAAGTCGCTATGGTATTTGGACTAGAAAAAAATTTTATTTAAAAATCCAGGGCTATTACAGTCCTTGGAAA